TACCACATCTCTATCCATTCATCTGTAGAAGGGCACTTGGGTTGCTTCCACATCTTGGCTATTGTGAATAATGCTGCAATGAACATAGGGGCACATAAGTCTCTTTGAATTGTTGATTTCATGTTCTTCGGATAAACACCCAGTAGTCGGATAGCTGGAGCATATGGTATTTCTATTTTTTTTTTTTTGGAGGAAGATTAGCCCTGAGCTAACATCTGCTGCCAATCCCTCTCTTTTTGCTGAGGAAGACTGGCCCTGAGCTAACATCTGTGTCCGTCTTCCTCCACTATGTGGGACACCGACCACAGCATGGCTTGCCCAGCAGTGCCATGTCCGCACCTTGGATCCAAACCAGCCAGCGAATCCCGGGCCACCGAAGCGGAACATGTGCACTTAACCTCTGCACCACTGGGCCGGCCCCATATTTTTAATTTGTTGAGAAATCTCCATACTGCTTTCCATAGTGACTGCACTAGTTTGCATTCCCACCAGCAGTGTGTGAACGTTCCCTTTTTTCCATATCCTCTCTAACATTTGTTGTTTTTTGTCTTAGTAATTATAGCTGTTCTGACTGGTGTAAGGTAATATCTCACTGTAGTTTTGATTTTCATTTCTCTAATATTTAATGATGTTGCACATTGTTTCATATGTCTGTTGGCCATCTGTATATCTTCCTTGGAAAAATGTCTGCTCATGTCCTCTGCCCGTTTTTTGATCAGGTTGTTTGTGGTTTTTTGTTGAGTTGTATCCTTTTTTTTTTTTTGTGAGGAAGATTGGCCCTGAGCTAACATCTGTGCCCATCTTCCTCTATTTTGTATGTGGGTTGCCAACACAGCAATTCGAACCCACAAACCTAGGCCACCGAAGCAGAACACACTGAACTTAACTACTATGCCACCAGGCCAGCCCCTAGACTTTATCTTTTGATGGGAGGAGCTACAAAGAATTTGTGTCCATTTGCAATCTTTATGGTAGCCTCATATTTCCCTAAGCCAATTCATGCTTGAAAATGCCTTTCTGGTTTTTTTTTTGTTTTTTGCTGAGGAAGATTCACCCTGAGCCAACATCTGTGCCAACCTTCCTCCATTTTATATGTGGGATGCTGCCACAGCATGGCTTGATGAGCAGCGTTAGGTCCACGCCCAGGATCCAAACCTATAAATCCTGAGCCACCAAAGTGCAGTTCGAGAACTTAACCACCACACCACCAGGCTGGTCCCTGCATCTTGTTTTTTGTTTGTTTGTTTAAATGCATCTCTTTTAGGCAACATTGCTAGCTCTTATTTTTTAAACAGATTTGCTTAGCTATAATTCACATGCCATACAATTTACCCACTTCATATGTACAATTCAGTGGGTTTTAGTATATCTACAGATATGTGCAACCATCAGCCCAGTCAATTTTAGAATATTTCATCACTTCTAAAGGAAATCACATATCTTTAGGGTATCACTCCCCATCCTTGCACCCCCTAGTCCTAAGCAACCACTATCTGTATAGATAATTTTATCTGTATAGATAATTTGCCTATTCTGGACATTTTATGTAAATAGAATCATACAATATGTGGGGGGTTTTTGTGACTGGCTTCTTTCTCTTAGCATAATGTTTTCAAGGTTCATCTGTGCTGTAGTATGCATCAGTACTTCATTGCTCTTTATGGCCAAATAATATTCCATCGTGTGGATAAACCACATTTTGTTTACCCACTCATCAGTTGATGGACATTTGGGTTTTCCCTACCTGTTAGCTATTATGAATAATGCTGCTGTGAACATTTGTGTTAAAGTTATTGTGTGAGGTGTCTTTGTTCTTGCATTATGGTTTCTCTCAGATTGGGTTCTCTGTCTTTTGAGTGCTCTGTTCCTTTTCTCCCCCCTAGTGGAATGGCCGCGTTTTTTCTTGCTACTCATGGTTACCGTGCACAGACCTGGCACACTTTCTTTTTGCTTTGAGTTTGTGCAAGTGAATTCTTTTTGATAGCTTTCTCACTCATCTGGGACCACTGTGTCTTCCCTTCAGAGCTATAGTCTGAGTATTGGATTTAGTTTTACGCCACTTTTCTGTAGCCTGAGGAAACCATGGTGGGGAAGGAATGAGCTTACTCAGCAGTAAACTGGATTCTTGCTGGAGGACCCAGATTCTGGGCACTCAACAGAGATCCTCCTCCTTTGCCAAGGCCCCTGCCACCCACTCAGGGATTATTCCACTCTTGTGGGCTTCACCTTGTTCTGTCAACTAAGAGTGTCCTGGAAAATGGCAAACTATGGTGACATCCACTTTGCTTCCTGGCTTGTCCCACTGTAGCAACCTGGTCTTTAGAGCCCCATCTCGGCACTAAAGCAACCAGCCACACTAGCCTGTGCGTGACTGCTGTCAGCTTCCCTCCCCCGCCCTTTCCCTCCCAGGACAGAGCCCAATTTCTTAAGGAGCTGTATATTTGTGGAGAACGGGTTTATATCAATTTCCCATTTTCAACATTATGAGGAAAATTTTCTTAGATGTTCTTAGTCTGGTAACCTTGCATAGCATAGAATAATCCCTTGCTTTCCAAGTGAAGCCTCCAGTCTCGAGTAGAGCATTTCTCCAAAGCTTTTATTTCCTGTCTCAGAGTAGTTTCCTCCATTACCTTCTGTCATTCTGGTGGTGTTCTAAGAAACAACATGGCAAGTGCAGGCTTGAATTCCCTTGTTTGCCCTAAGTCCAGGCAGAGTAAAGACCCCACTGTTAGCTAGACCTGGACTGCCTATTGTTCTTCCCCAACAGGCAAGAAAACAACGGCCTTCTAGATTGTGGTATCTTTTGGTTTCTGGGAACAGTTGTTCTAGCTTAGATAAGCTATGGTAGCTGTGGGTTTGTTTGCCTGTGTTCTCTGAATGTTTGTGCATGAAGCCAGTGCTGTCCTAATCTTGTATGTTCTACTGACCCCTGAAGGAGAGGCCAACTGGATATTAGAGGGACAGCCAGAGGCATTTTCCTGAATATCAACATGCCTGGATAGGGTGGGGTTCTCCCAGCTTGTTATGGTTTCTCAGGGGAAAATCCTGTCCAGTTCTCATGTTTGGGCATAGCAGAGAGTAGGGCTTTCCTTGACTTAAACTAAGAAAAGTAGGTCCTAGAGACAGGGAGATCCATGACTTTATCCAATGTCTCTGACTAAGGCAAGGGTACAACTGGACCAGGAGACTGTACTATCTCAGACATGCCACACTTCCATCGTTCCCACAGTATGACTTGCACACCATTGGGGTGATTCTGAGGCTGTGAGAATGTGAGTCAAGGAGTCAAATTATACTCATAAATTCAAAAATAAATCATTCTCAGTCCGTGGTGTCAAGGAAAATGTACTGGTATTTTCTACTCTGTAGACTGCCAGGAATGGAGATTTTGAAAGTAGATTATATTTTCTCAGTTTGTCATTAAACTAGAGGCACATTCCCGCAGGGAAAATATATAGAAAATGTTATTGAAAACTTCCTGGTAGTGCAGCAGGCTCACTGTGATACCGTGCTTTATAATAAAAAATATATATTTGGTCTTCATCTGCATTCCTGGCACAGAGCTCCTAAAATGCTTGGAATTTCCTTAGCGAGGAGAGATTAAAGTGTCTTTTGTTATTCGTAACAAGTTCCGTTCCACCACACCTGAGTTTATGTTAATAAGGTGACTTCTGGAAAGCCCCTAAGGATGGGGGCTCGTTGCCAGGGGAACCAGCCAGGTAATTAGAGGGTTGGAACTTTGTGTCAGGGAGGGGAGAGGGGTTGGAGATTGAATTAATCATCAATGGCCAATGATTTAATCAATCACGCCTACATAATGAGGCCTCCAGAAAAACCCTAACTGACAGAGTTTGGAGAGCTTCTGGGTTGGTGAACATGCGGGGGTGCTGGGAGGGTAACACACCCGGAGAGAGCATGGAAACTCTGTACCCCTTCTCACATACTTTGCCCTATGCATTTCTTCCATCTAGCTGTTCTGAGCTATATCTTTTTATAATAAACTGGTGCTCTGGTAAGTAAACTATTTTCCTGAGTTCTGTGATCCACTCTAGCATATTCTTGAACTTGAGGAGAGTATCGTGGGAACCTGGGAACCTCTGATGGCTTAGAGCCAGTAGGTTAGAAGCACAGGTGAAGACATGGAAGGAATAGTGATTGTTATCTGAAGTTAGGGAGGGAGGAAAAGTCTTGTGGGACTAGCTCTGAACCTGTGGGGTCTGCTCCAACCCCAGGTAGGTATTATAGGACACCCAGGTGCTGTCTGCAGAGAACTGGAGAATTGCTTGGTTTGGAAACCGCCCCCCCCCGCCCCCCCACATTTGGTGACTAGCATGAAGTATCGAGAGTAGTAGATGAAGAAACAGTTTTCTCCTTTAGTTGGTGTAGGAGAGGAAATGAAAAGTTTCTCCCACTCACTCACCCACAGCGTTCGTGGCGCCCTGTGTGGTGTGTGTGTCAAAGGGCTTTAAAATGTCCCTCCCATTGTGGAAGCTCACAGAGAAGGCTGATCCCGGAGAGAAAACACAGCATGGCAGGAAAAACAGAACTGCCCCATCAGGTAGCTTTCTTGGGTTGACAAATAGAGCCAATGTTCAGCATTTTGTAGAGCGTGTTAGAGAGAAGCAAATCCTCCTTTGAAATACAGACATAAGCAAAAACTATAAATCCTTGACCATGCATAGCAACATGATTTGAAGCAAGAAGTAAACATCCCAGAGCAAACTACACCATAGGAGACCATCTCAGCGTGGTACCCTCAAAGGAAGCTATGGAGGAATTCTTGGCCACAGGAAACCTGAAGGGAAGAGACTATTCTCTTGCTCACACTAGTTACAGATTTTCACCAGCTTCTAAGTGAGGAGAAACTGATGGCCAAGATAAGAACCTTCTGCACAGCATTTATATTTGATTGTCTATGAGAATTTAGAGTAAACTGGTTATGGTTCTCATTCCAGAGTTGGGGCTCCTCATTCTCAACTAATTATTTGATGTCTATATAGGACAGGACCCAAATAAAACCTCGAGGTTTTGCTGCAGATGATATTAGAGTTGGATGAATCTTTTTGGGCTATTCAAGTCGAAGGTCTAGTGCATACGTTGGTCAAACAAGGTGAGTAACTACCCTTCCAGGCTGCTACTTTAACAAGATTCTGTCTGGGGGTACCTTATGGCACATGCATAGCCCAATGCACACCTGTAGTGTCACCCTCCACGTATGCTGTGGGCTCACCTGCATTTGCATCACATGCCCCCCATCAGTGTCATGTCCTCATTGTGTCCCTTGAATACTTAAATGCCCATCATGTAAGGGCCATTTGCAAGGCCACCCTCTTCAGTGGACTATGGTTACCGTGTCCAGGTCCTTGCCATGCCCCTTTCTTGAATCCTGATTTTCATTTTCTTTTCAGAGAAATGCAAGATCCCAGGGTTGAAAGCATTTCCTCGTGGTAGCTTCATTTCTCCTGTTTGTTCAGATCAACATTCTGAGTCATCCCCGGAGTCGTCTTTGATTTTTGTCTTTCTCTAATACTGTAGATGCAACCAACAGAAAATCCTCTTGACTCTATCACTGAACTGTATTCAGATTCCATCCTCTTCCTACTACTTCTACCATGCCCACTCTAGTCGGGGCTACCATCATCCCTCAGCTGGATTACTGCAAAGCCTTGTCTCCCTGCCCCTACCGTCACCCAGCTCTAGTCTATTCTGCACCCAGCAGCCAGCATGTTCCTTTTATAATTCAAGTTGGATCATGTCTCTCCTCCACTCAGAACCCGTACTGGCTTCCCATGTCACTTGGAATAAATCTAAAATCTTTACCCTGACGTTCGTGATCTGGCTCCCTGCTACCTCTCAAATCTACCCCCCTCACCCTCACTGAAGCCACTCTGGATGCTTGACTGTTCCTCAGACATACCAGACACTCTTGCTTCTGGGTCTTTGTGTTTTTACTTCCTCTGCCTGGTCAGTTTCTCCCCAGATACGCACATAGCTCACTTCCACACTTCCTCCAGGTCTTTGCTCATATTCACTGTATCGGGAAGACCCTCTCTGAAGACTCCTCCTTGGATAACACACACTCATGTCCTTCCCAGTCCTCTGTATCCCCTTACTCTAATTGCTTTGTCTTCTTGGCACTTAGCACTGCCCGAAGTATTATTTATTTATTTTCTGTCTTCCCGCACTAGAAGGTGAGCTCCAGGGATTTTGTTGCGTTTGTACCGCAGCTCACAAGACAGTGCCTGTCACTGGGAAGGCATGTGAGAAATGTGTGTGGAATGAGTGAATGAACTCCTCATGGGAGGTGTCTGCTCACACTTGCCTGCACATCTGTGGGGAAAAGGCTTTATGGGGATTTCCTTCAGTTCCTCTGAGGAGACATTGTCAAGGAGGGCACTGGCTGGCTCTGCTCCTGTCCTCACCACAGTAGGTGGCTGCCCTGGCGAAGTGAGGCTGAGCTGTGGGAGAGATGACATTCAGAGGTGTTCATGACATTTTTTTCAGGAGTGCAGGCCCTGTGATGTGGAGGCATCCAAACCAGTCTGACAGGAGTGAGGGCAGGATTCTGCCCAGACTGGTAAAAATGATTGTGTCCATGCAGAGTGAGACTTGCAAAGAGGACACTGTGGCAGTCCCATAGAGTTCTTGCTGAGGCACAGAGACTGAGACTGTGAGGACACGGGGCATTGTCTGTGTACACAAAGGATATAGAGCTGCAACTTGTTTTGTCATGAAACCAGCAGCTACAGGTAAGCAGGCCTTACAGGCAGAGTCATCCCCTCATTCCACAAACGTATACTGAGTATGTGCTATGTGCCAAGCATGATTTTAGGCCTTAGAGGACTGTTCTAAGAGCTGGGGCTTCCTGGGATATGGACTGCAGGGCCACAGGGAGGGCCGAAGTTGGCTCAGGAGAGTGCCCAGACCTTCTTCAGTCCAGAGTCTTCCTTTTCCTCCCTGAGGGAGGCAGCTGAGGACAGGCTGCCCCTCCACCTCCAGCAGGGATCAGCTCTGCCTGTGTCGTCGAGGCTCCTGGCGACCCAAGGAGGCAGTGGGCAGCCTCTGGAGGTTCCCATCCCTGCTCCTCACCATGAGGACCCCTCGGCCCCTCCTCCTAACTGCTCCCTGAGGGTCTGACAGAGGTCTCCACCACCTGCTGCCCCGTGCTCTGGACCCAGAGCTCCACCTGCTGACAGGCTCTCTCCCCTTGCTGCCCTGGAGCCTGCCCCTGGCACTGGCTTTGTGGTTTGCTGGGGGCGAGGAAGACATCTGTGCCTAGCACGGAAGCAGAAAATGGAACAAGATCTGTTTCTTCAGGGGAGGGTATTTGGGGGTGCTGGCCAGGACGTGGGTGAGGAGGTCTCGGGTAGAGATAGGAGAGGCCCAAGTTATAAGCCAGTTGGTCATGTTGGGAGTTTAGAATGGAGTTCAGCTCCTGACACTGGAGCCCACGCACTGACACCCAGGGCCAGTCCCAACTCTGACACAGGTCCCCCGGGTGCCTGGAGGGTAATGGGAGATCCACAGAATCTTCAGTGGGGTGTGACAACCCCGAGGCCTTACAGGCTGGCCTCACCCATTCACCCTTCGGCACAGAGGCCACAGGGCCAGCTCAGACTTCCTACAGACCTCTGGGAGTGGAAGGACTTCTATGATGACTGTCTTCTCCCTGGCAGCTGGAGGGGGTGAAGTCACCTGTAAACAATTGGCTGTACATCTGAAACAGCCAGGTGAGGCTGAGAACACACGGAGGCTGACGTGATCTGGTGTCCAGAATTTGGCACTCTCTGCTTGGCCCTTGCAACCCATCCCAAGTTCTGGTGATGACCAGCCCAGTGGGGCCGGAGTTGCCCCCACAAGTAGGACAAGGGCATTCCTCTGGGTCATCTCCAGGGGTGCTTCCAGCACTGCTGTTCTCTGACTCAGAGGAGGAGAGATGTATCTCGCAGGCTTGTGGATTTCTCAGTTTCTATATAGGAACGCTCTGAGCTCTGAGTACAGCGCTTTGTATTTTTCAGGGCATATTTGTACAAGGTACTTTGGAGAGAACTCAGACCCACTGCACGGCTGGCCAGGGGTTGGCGTTTGCAGAGTCTGGGCATCACGGATGTGCCTGAACATCAGTTCTCCAGGCAGAGGAAGCTGGTGAGTGACAAGGAAGAGGAAACCACAGAAAGTGTAAGCATTCCCAAGGGCCTCGAAATACCCGAAGCAAGATGCTGTCGAACTGGCCTTCCACCTCAGAAAGAGGAGGTGGGAGGCAGAGGAGGATCTCTTTATTAAAAATTAGTTGTGTGTCTTTTTTTAGTACCCTTATCTGGCAGCCAGAGGTTTCCGAGGTCTGGGCACTTGGGTGAAACAAGCAGGGTTGCTCCAGGACTACGGAAGTCAAGTATTTCACAAAATCAGGGAAATTTCTCCCTGGTGCCCAGCACCTCCAGCACCTCAGCCAGCAGCTTTGGAAGCGGGACAGAGCACTCCTGGGGCGGAGGTTGCCTCCTCACTAGGGGCACTTGTGATGCAGTAGAGACTTGGAAGAGAGGAGCCGAGCAGCAGAGAGGACAAGGTCAGGTTGACGCTGACTGTCGCTGACAGACTGGATCCTGAGCACACAGGAGACATTCTGAGAACTCCCCAAAATACCTGAGGGAAATTTTAGGGCCCTGGAGCATACAGTAGACAAGTGGGAACAAGAGCAGGAAATCTGAAGTATTGCATTTGCATCCACAGGCTGACAGGAGGTGGGGACTTCTGGGTTATACTTGGGAGATTCCCTGAGGCACTCAGGATCTCTGATTTACAGAGGGTGGCAGCTCTGAGGCTCAGAGTAAAACCCAACCTCCAGAGCAAAGTTTCCTGATCCCCAGAGGCTCCTCTTCATCCCCTGTGCCCACTGCTGTGAGCAAACGGGGCCACAGGTAGGGTCCGCCCACTTGTGCGAGTGATGACAACCAGCAACAGCCTCACAGCGGCCCCCACTGAAGCTGCAGAACACTTAGGTCTGACAGGTGGGAGACAACTGTGGGAGGACCGATGTCGGTCAGTCATAGCCAACTCAGCCTCCCTAGTGCTCCCTGACCAAGAAAACACTGAGCTGGCTCCTTCCCCTTCCCCAGCATTTTCCTGGCACTTCTAAGCTCTAACCTTACTTACTAGCTGCCTCTTCATGGCACAGGGCCCCCTGACATCTGGGATCAGCCCAGCTCACACCCCCATCTTCCCACAGGTTTATGGGTCCCAGATGGCCTCTGAGTCTTTGGAGTTGAAAAAGGAGTGTGTTTTTTATACATTAATAAATTCTCACCAGAGGGGTCTTAGAAATGGCTGGTTTCTTCTTCTTTTTTTTCTTTTTTTAAATTTTTTAGCCTTTTTTTAAATTGACTTCATAATAGTTTACATCATTGTAAAATTTCGGTTGTACATTATTTCTTGTCCGTCACCAAATAAGTGCTCCCCTTCACCCCCTGTGCCCACCCCCCACCCCCCTTCCCCTGGTAACCGCTGAACTGTTTTCTTTGTCCGTGTGTTTGTTTATATTCCACATATAAGTGTAATCATATGGTATTTATCTTTCTCAGTCTGGCTTATTTCGCTTAGCCTAATACCCTCCAGATCCATCCATGTTGTTGCAAATGGGATGATTTAGTCTTTTTTTATGTCTGAGTGTATATATATATATATATACATACACCACATCTTTACCCAATCATCAGTTGATGGACACTTGGATGGTTTCCATGTCTTGGCTATTATCAGTAGTGCTGCAATGAACATAGGGGTGCATATGTTACTTTGGATTGTTGATTTCAAGTTGTTTGGGTAGATACCCAGTAGTGGGATATCTGGGTCATAAGGTGTTTCTATTTTTAGTTTTTTGAGGAATCTCCATACTGTTTTCCATGGTGGCTGCACCAGTTTACATTCCCACCAGCTGTGTACGAAGGTTCCCTTTTCTCCACGCCCTCTCCAACATTTGTTACTTTTAGTCTTAGTGATTATAGCCATTTTAGCAGGTATAAAGTGATATCTTAATGTAGTTTTGATTTGCATTTCCCTGATGATTAGTGATGTTGAACATCTTTTCTTGTGTTTATTGGCCATCTGTATATCTTCTTTGGAGAAACGTCTGTTCATTTCCTATGCCCATTTTTTGATTGGGCTGTTTGTTTTTTGTTTTTCAGTTGTGTGAGTTCCTTATGTATTATGGAGATTAACCTCCTGTCGGATATATGATTTGCAAATATTTTCTCCCAATTGGTGGATTGTCTTTTTGTTTTGATCCTAGTTTCTTTTGCCTTGCAGAAGCTCTTTAGACTGATGAAGTCCTACTTGTTTATTTTTTCTTTTGTTTCCCTTGTCTGAGAAGACATGGTATGTGAAAAGATCCTTTTAAGTTAGACTTCAGTTTGCTACCTATATTATCTTCCAGGAGTTTTATGGTTTCAGGACTTATCGTCAAGTCTTTGATCCATTTTGAGTTTATTTTTGTGTATGGCGTGAGATAATGGTTTACTTTCATTCTTTTGCAAGTGGTTGTCCAGATTTCCCAACACCATTTATTGAAGAGACTATTTTTTCTCCATTGTGTGTTCTTGGCAACTTGTCAAAGATTAGCTGTCCGTAGATGTGCAGTTTTATTTCTGGGCTTTCAGTTCTGTTCCATTGATCTGTGTGCCTATTTTTGTACCAATACCGTGCTGTTTCAATTACTATAGCTTTGTAGTACATTTTGAAGTCAAGGATTGCGATGCCTCCAGCTTTGTTCTTTTTTCTCAGGATTGCCTCAGCAATTCAGGGCCTTTGGTTGCCCCATATGAATTTTAGGATTCTTTGTTCTATTTCTGTGAAGAATGTCATTGGGATTCTGATTGGGATTGCATTGAATCTGTAGATTGCTTTGGGTAGTATGGACATTTTTACTATGTTTATTCTTCCAATCCATGTGTATGGTATCTCTTTCCATCTCTTTATGTCAGCATCTATTTCTTTCAATAATGTCTTATAGTTTTCATTGTATAAGTACTTCACTTCCTTGGTTAAATTTATTCCTAGATATTTTATTCTTTTTGTTGCGATTGTAAATGGAATTGTATCCTTGAGTTCTCTTTCTGTAAGTTCATTATTAGAGTACAGAAATGCAACTGACTTTTGTAAGTTGATTTTCTACTCTGCAACTTTACTGTAGTTGTTAATTATTTCTAATAGTTTTCTGATGGATTCTTTAGCCTTTTCTATATATAAGATCACGTCGTCTGCAAATAGTGAGAGTTTCACTTCTTCACTTCCTATTTGGATTCCTTTTTTCCTTTTTCTTGCCTAATTGCTCTGGCCAAAACCTCCAGCACTATGTTGAATAAGAGTGGTGATAGTGGGCATCCTTGTCTTGTTCCTGTTCTCAGAGGGATGGCGTTCAGTTCTTCCCCATTGAGTATGATGTTGGCTGTGGGTTTGTCATATATGGCCTTTATTATGTTGAGGTAATTTCCTTCTATCCCCATTTTGTTAAGAGTTTTTATCATAAATGGCTGTTGGATCTTGTCAAATGCCTTCTCTGCATCTGTTGAGATGATCATGTAGTTTTTATTCCTCATTTTGTTAATGTGCTGTATCACATTGATTGGTTTGCAGATATTGAATCATCCCTGTGTCCCTGGAATAAATCCCACTTGATCATGATGTATAATCTTTTTAATGTATTGCTGTATTCGAGTTGCCAATATTTTGTTGAGGATTTTTGCATCTATGTTCAACAGCGATATTGGCCTGTAGTTTTCCTTTTTTGTGTTGTTCTTATCAGGCTTTGGTATCAGAGTGATGTTGGCCTCGTAGAATGTGTTAGGAAGCATTCCATCTTCCCTGATTTTTTGGAATAGCTTGAGAAGAATAGGTATGAAATCCTCTCTGAAAGTTTGGTAGAATTCTCCAAGGAACAGAAATGCCTGGTTTCTTACCTCAGACACCAGATAATTGCCCTTTCTTGCTGACCCCATTCTACCCCTTATTTCCCCTCTAGTCTCTTCTTTCCCCCATCTCTGCTACCCTTGCTCTGTTACTGCCCATGCATAAGAAACCTCATGGGTGCTGGTCTGAAGAGAGCAATGCCACCTCTTCTTCTGGCCTCTGTCTGGTGGGCTTTTGTAGAGAAGGTTTAGGTAGGGATGGGATCATTGGGGAGTTCTACTCCGGGGGGAATATCTGCATGGCACTTTACCTGTTCACAAAGCTTCTTCATAACACGAGGTAGCAACTGGTCATCATTGGTCTCCAATAATGCCTAACGAGAAGTGTCTTCTCATTTGCTTTGCCCACTCTGGACATCACCATCTGGACCACAATTAGCAGTTGAGTTCACTTAACTTTCCTGTACACAACCCCAGAGCTCTGCAAATTTGACTTACATGAATTGAGAAGGATTCTTTAATTAACAATTTTATTTACACAAAAAATAATTTTTTGATTATCTGAGACAATTGAAAACTACCAAAATAACTCACACAGTATACCAGCAGTCAATTAGACGATGACCCCACATTCTAGAGAGCTGCACTGTCCAGTATAGTAGCTCCTAGCCACATGTGCCTATTTAAATATTTTAATTAATAAAAATTAAGTAAGATTAAAAATGTAGTTTCTCCATTGCACTAACCACATTTCAAGTGCTCGATAGCCACATGTAGCTAGTGCTACTGTATTAGCACAGATAGAGAACATTTCCACCATCACAGAAAGTTTTATTACAGCTCTGTTCTAGAGTGTCATTCTGACATTAAATCCTTTCTCTTCACACTATGGGACTGGTGTGGAAACCCTTATCTTTGTGTGACTGATGAAAACATCTCTGTCCTGGTCCTGTCCATCTCTTCCTCATCCTTAATGCTGAGTCTTTCTCATCTGTGACCCTCATCCTGTCTGACCTGTAGGAATCACCCCTTGATATCTTTGCTGATCTGCCCATTACAAAGAATTCTGTCTTTCCAGCTGCAGTTGCTTGGAGTTTATCTTTTGAGTACAGAATCCTTTTCAACTAATTCTGTACCAACGGCTTTAGAGAGTGAGTACTAGGAGTTTGCATGAGAACCTCTCCTTTTTGGAACTTGGCTGAGTTGTCCTGGGAACAAGTGTCTCTGCATTTACACAAGCCTGAG